TAATGCAGGATCTATGGCGTCTTCCAGTAATCCCAAATAGATTTCACCGGTCAAATTTCCAGGTAAGAAAAAAGGACCAACTAAATGATCGCCAAAAATACCAGCCCAAACATTTAATTTTTGTGGCTGCTGCGTATGAACCTCATGATAAATTCTGGGATTAGAATCGGACCAATATCGGCAGCTATGACGATTTACTACGCCATTTAAGAAAAAGGAACATTCATCGGAAAAGCAAGTGTTGAATAGAAAATGTTCATCGTTTATAAGTCTTTCACTCATATCTTCACAAAATTGTAATCGTCTTCATTAAGTTCTTGTACCAGGTGAATTTTATACGGATGAAAACTATGGGCCTTTAGAATCTGTTGGACAGTACGTCGACTAACACAACACATAGTCTCCAATTTGCGGGTACTTAACGTAGGATCTACATAAACTTGCCCTAAAACCCCCACTTCTATTGCTTCGTTCCTTATGGGATTTTCAATGTTGCGTTTTTTATTGGCGACTGACCCAGTTTCCCGAAAGTTAGCTACAAGTTCTAGAACATATTTTCGATGCACGTTACTGTTCTCATGTCGCTCATTAAATATTTATGCTGTTCTATTAGCGCACTGATTATTTCCGAAAAATATTTAGATAATTTCAACTCTTTCTGCTGTGGAGTATACCATGGTTAATTTATGTAATAAAGCGTTACGAGTTATTTTAGCAACAAAGTTTGGTCAAATCAATCGCAAACTATGTACTAAATTCCTATTTAAAATAAGTACGAGATATTTCCTTATCTTTCTTCAAGAAATAAAGTTTTTGCCACAAAAAAAACGCTTTAATAGCTATTTTCAACAACAAAATGATAAACAAACCATGGGCGTAGTGAAGAAAAGCATTTACTTATTAAGTAAATTCTTTTAGTCAAATTTCTTCTGAAAGTAGTACAAACTAATCTGATGTACCTATTTTAAAGTCTACTTTAAGCTTTAAATCAATAAATCTTCAAAACTACTGAACTGAAGCTCATGTATTGTACATCATTATCATGGGATTTGAAAGACCTTTAAAATAAGGTATCACTCGACGCCCCTTTCCATTTAAGATTTTAGGGTTGGTGTCACCCCCGACCGGGGGGCTGCACGTGTTAACGTGATTTTTTGCCAAACTTGTGTCCCCATCGAAAACAAAATCGACGGGTCTGAGCGTTTTTAAAAAAAAACTGAGCTGCCAGTAAATGCGTCTGTTTCGTTTTCGATGCGCCACCCTGTATATGTATGTATATACAACATACACACTGCGTAGAATTGAATACTAATATTACCACAATTATTATACAAAAGGAAATATAGATTTTCATTTAAAAAATTGCAATAGTAATATAACTCGCAAATCAATATTTCAGAATTTAATAAACTAAACAATGATATAAAGTCTACTTGCATTTTAAAGATGTTTAAAATAAAACTAAAGGAGTATTTCATGAAGAGTGAAAATTCTTAGAGATGCAAGTTTTGTTTTTCTAAATACTAAGTGACATATAAATCCGAACACCCAGTTTAAATGGTTTTATTTTAATAAAATTTTGTAAGTACTTAATGAAGCATAATAAGTAAATGATAAAAATTTCAAAATGATTGCACTGCTTTAAAGCCCTTTGACCTTTAATAATGTGTGGATGAACCCTGATGTGCTACGCATTCTCCAACGCGCCTAGGCATGCTTCTGATCAGGTGGTCAATGTCCTCCTGTGGTATCTCATTCCAGGCAACCACCAACTCCTCTCGAAGTGCTTCTAGAGTCTGAGGAGGACGTTGCAAATTGAGCAATCTCCTACCCATCATATCCCGCACGTGCTCAATTGGGGATAAGTCGGGAGATCTTGGTGGCCATGGTAACAATGTGACATCATTATGTTGAAAGAAGTCTATTGTGACTCTTGCAAAATGTGGTCGGGCATTATCTTGTTGGAAAGTTGGATCTCCCAGGGTGTCAAGATAGGGTAAAAGATGGGGTTCTAGAACTTCGTGGATATAACGCTGCGCGTTCATGTTACCTCTGATGAAGATTAAAGGTGACCTGGAACCATAAGCTTAGCACCCCAAACCATAACTCCAACAGTGTGATGAACATGTCTTTCGACAAAAAACTGTGGATTCCTCCTTTCACCATGTCGCCTTCTAACCCTGGCACGACCATCGTGCATGCCTAAAAAAAATCGAGACTCGTCACTAAAGACAATACTGTTCCATTCCTGATCCCAGAGTGACCGTTGTCTGCACCACTCAAGGCGATTACGTCGGTGTTCTCGAGTTAAAGGGAGGACCCAGTGTGGCCGGTATGAAAACAAGCCAAAACTTCTCATTTGTCGGTAAACACTTCGCATGCCAATAGGTCTTCCGTGTTGTGCAAACCATTCATTTGCAATGGACCTGGTAGTGGAGAAACGGTCCCTTAAGGCCAATAATCTTAGGCGGCGATCTTCACGGTCTGTTGTTCTACGGCGGCGTCCAGTGCCCCTTGCTCTTTGCGTACGGCCTTCTCGAAGCCATGCCTGACAACACCTAACCACAGTGTCTACACTTCTTTGCACTCTAACTGCAATTGCCCGAAAAGAAAGTCCAGCTTCCCGAAGTCCCACTATACGGCCCCTATCAAACTCACTAAGTTGACGAAATCGTACAGGTCTCCGTACTCTAGGCATCGTAACCGATCGTAAAGGATGTCAAGAACCAAAATCCGCCAACGTTGATTCTTTACTGCGGCTGAAATATTCATTTTTAGAGCGTTAGTGAATTGAAAAAAAGCAGTATAAAAACCGGAATGTCCAACTGATAAGGCTGAAAATTTTTTCACTTGTTATTTACAGTAAGATAAATACATTCAACAACTTTTATTAAAATAAAACCATTTAAACTGGGTGTTCGGATTTAGTATATCTGTATGTTATGTTATTGTTGTAATTTTTTAAAAGAATGTAATTGTAGCAATAATGCTAAATAAATCTTAAACAACAACAATAACCATTCTAAGGAACAGATATTAACACATCGCCAAAATTTATCACGACTTGTAACGCGAACATTTCTTACATTAGGATTCATATCTACTAAACTTGTTGACATGGCCGTAACTAGCGCTAGACTCTGAAAAAGGTACCAGATGAGAGTGAAGAGAGAACGACTATGACCTCACCTTTGAGTTCTCCTGTAGCAGGACTGGTATCTTCGGTCAGGTAAGGCTCGGGGATAATCACTGGCGTATCGAAAAGATCACCGAAAAAGTCGCTGGTATCACTTGCAAATTCCGTGAGATATCGCGCAGTCGAATCTTCTCCACAAACTTCGACAGTTCTGTCGCTGAAACCGCAGTCCACCTTGTTGAGCAGTTCATAAGGTTCGTATGAGTATATCTCCGTTGGAAGTTCAACTTGATGGGTATCGTAGCTGAATTCCACGTCTATGTCAGGTTCGGGAATCAATTCAAGCTTTACGGGTTCGCTGTGAACAGCTTCATCGTCGTCGATGCAAACCGGTTCTTCATTGTACCTGTCGAAAAACGTGTGAATTTATGAAAGGGTTTCCAATATGTGTTAATTGAATGAACGAGAACTTGCTGGCTGCTATTGGAATTTTGGTGAGAATATGAAAAGTGATTTGCTCGACAAAAAATACGCCCTGGTATAACAAGAATATTAAGGCAGCTCAAAATTTGAGAGACAAACAATACAATAAATGTATATTCACAAAATCAAATGATGATTGGGAGGTATATAAAACACTTAGGAATAAATGTGTATATGTAATTAGAGAAGAAAAAAGGAAATTCTACGATAAGCAAATCGATAATAACAAGTGCGACAGTGTAAAGATGTGGAAGACTTTAAAAAGACTGATCAATTCGAAGCCGCATGATTGTGTAAATCAAGTTCAATTCGAAAACGGTACCGAAACAAGTTCTTTGGTGATTGCAAACAAACTAAATGAATATTTTGTGGAAAGTATTGTTGATATTGTGGGTACTGCCAATGCTGCACCTGACTATATGAAAATCAGTTTACAGGGGGAAATGTTGCATACACTTTCAAAATTTCACAGCGTATCATTGAATTATCTAAGAAAAAAAGTAAACAGTTTAAAATCAAATAACAACTGTGCCCAAATCACTACTAAAAACGTGCTGAAAAACTGTTTCGAAATTTTGGGATATCCTGTATTAAATTGGATCAATTGTTCACTGAGAAGCAGTTCTTTTCCTGAAAATTTGAAATGCTCTACAATAACACCAGTTCCCAAAATAAAAATTTCTAAAAGATGCAGCGATATGAAACCAGTAAATGTGTTACCAGATATTGAAAAATTATTAGAGTCCATAGTGCATGACCAATTAATGCAGTTTATAGAAGAAAACAAAATTTTAGTGGAGGCGCAAGCAGGCTTTCGAAAAAAATATTCCACAGCAACAGCTTTCCAGTTGGTAACTGAGAATTGGAGAAGAGCCATAGACTCAGAAGAAGTTGTCATAGCAGTATTTTTGGATTTGAAGAGGGCATTTGAAACGATTGATAGAGATATTTCGTTAGTTAAATTGAAGGCATATGGTATAACAGGAAGTGTTTTAGATTGGTTTAGAAATTATTTGTCTAAAAGGATGCAAGTTACAAAAGTTAATGACACTATTTCATCAAAAATTGAAAATACGTTGGGTGTTCCACAGGGCAGTATCCTGGGACCACTTCTTTTTATTTTATACATAAATGATTTACCTGCCATAGTAAAAAAATGCAAAATTCAGATTTTCGCCGATGACACTATGATTTATATAAGTACTAAAAATATTCAGTCTGATATCTCTTACATAAATGAAGACTTGAAGCTTGTCTCAAAATGGTTAGCATCTAACAGACTAAAATTAAATGCAAGTAAAACGAAAGCCTTGTTAATCGGAAAAAAACAATGTATAAATGTTCAACTGAATATTGATGGTGAAGATATTGAATTCGTAGAAAATTTTAAATACCTGGGGGTTTTTGTTGACTCTCGATTAATTTTTGATATTCATTATGAAAAAGTTATAAATAAGATTAGTAGTAAAGTGAGATATTTATCGAGAGTTTCTGGATGTCTGAGTTCATATAGCAGAAAAATTATCTATAATACCATCATTCTTCCAAATTTCTTGTACTGTTCGACTATTCTATATTTAGCAAATAATTCCATTTTTGAAAGACTGCAAATTTTACAAAATAAGTGCATGAGAATAATACTAAATAAAGATAAATATACTCCTATTAGGCAAATGCTTAGCAAATTAAAATGGCTCAATGTAAAAAATTTTATCAAATATCTTGTAATGATATTCATTTATAAAGTAAAAAATAATATATTTCCATCAAGTCTAACTAATTTAACATCAAATGTCGACCAGCATTTACATAATACCAGAAATAAAGATGACTTCCATTTAATGACCAAAAAGTATAACATATGCTACAAATCTGTATTCCATCAAGGGTTGATTGAATATAATAAATTATACTCGGAGATAAAAGACCAGAAAACTTTGACAAAATTTAAAGTAAAATTGAGAAATCACTTGTTAAATCTACAATTATAGGTTGCCCAGCATTTACATCATACACCATATGGCTTGAATTTACTAGTTCTAAGTTGTTTACAATTATTCTGTTTATGTAGCCAAATGTGCTAAATAAATCTTTCTACTACTACTAATTTTGAAAATCAGCTGGGTGTGAGGTATCAGCAAACATGGGTGCTGCTGGGGGCCCAAAGCATGAATTTGAGTGAGAAATAGTGAATTTATACATAAAAAAGTGAGTTAATTTTATGAGAAATTGAGTATCATAATGCCAAATTTAAACGGATAATATAAATAAGAGAATGTGTGAAATAACGAGAATAAGTCATATAAGGTCTTTGTTACTGTACATATTTCAAGATCAAATACATACAATGCATAAAGGAAACATAAAATTTGTTTTGTCAATCCGGGAGACGTACTTATATCTATTAAGTATTCCCCAATTGTGCAAACGTTATGGTAGTCATTATTGAAATGGGTAAATAGGGGGTGTCAAAACAAATCAAAAAGTTCATATGACCCATGGTCCAAAAGTCAATAGATTTTTGTCTAAATGGCTTTATAGTTTACAACTTTAAGTGCTTTATATCGACCACAATCACCACAATCTTACTAATTTTTATAATCTTATCTAAAACGGTTTTAAATTGGCTAATTAACAAATAAATGACAATAGGTTTTTCTAAGTTAACCCAAAATTTGTAGTCAGTAAGTAAGTTTCATTAAATTAAATACTTAAAGCACACGTGACAACAGCGCGTCGGTCTTTCATCACTCTTATCGAACCGGCAATCGATCGCAAACGGTAACAGTGGTTAGTTATCCTTTTGCATAGTTTTGCGGTGTTGTCAGATTTATTTTACTTTAAAGTCGCTTTTCTCTAAAAAATGCGGTTTTGATCCCCATGTTATATGAAACTTTTTGATTCTTTTAACCCCCCTCTATCACCCATTTAAAAAATGACTATCATAACGTTTACACCTTATATATAAAGAGTGCTTTTAGCAAAGCTGAATTAAAATTCAACGTAGTTTTCAACTAATCCTGGTAATATACAGGGTGTTTCAGTTTATTGTTGCATAACTTTAAGATTCGATAGAACTTTTAAAATTAATGCATAAAGTCTATATAAACATGTGTCGAAATACAGGGTGTTTACATTTATTTTCTAAAATAGTTTTTTTTAAATATTTCGAACAATATTTGATGTATAACAGTGAAAATTGGTATACAAGGGTTTTTTGGTACGACAAAACGAACCATAGTTTTACTGTAGCCGCTAGAGGGCGCTCTCTACTGTACCTGTAGTATATTAAAATGACCGAAAATTTTTTCTTAGTGCAATTTTTTGCTTTTTGAATAAAAAAACTGATTCTTCGCACTTTTCTGCATAAAAAAGCTCTCCTGTGAGTTTTCGTTATAGTTAGCCGTTTTTGAGATATTTCGATTTTTAGGGTTCGATGCATTTTTAATTATTTATGGGAAAATAATATTTTTTTTACATTTTCGATTTGGGCATTACAAGTAATTAAGATGATCGTTTAGATTGTGTTTTTAAACACAGCAATAATTCGTAACTCCAAATAAACACAAAAAAACATAATATTAATTTGTTTAAGTTTCCAATATTATTTTTAACAAATTAAATTAATTATTTACAACTAAAATGCTATTGGATAGTTAGGACAAACATACAAAACCTAAAGTAGGTATAGCATTATTCAAATAAGGCCTTATTTCATCACATGCATTTCTGATTCTTCATATTAGCATAATTATCTCTTGTGGTTACGCGAGTCTGGTACACTTTTTCTTTTAGAAATCCCCACACAAAGAAATCTAATGGATTTAGGTCAGGGGATCTTGGAAGCCAGGCGACTGGTCCTCCACGGCCGATCCATCTTTCTGGATAATTTTCGTCCAGCCAGTATCTAACTATTCTCGAATAATGAGCTGGACAACCATCAAGCTGGAACCAGGCCAATCTTCTTAAATCTAACATAACATCATCCCACATATTTGCATGTTCAGCCTTTAAAATTCCAAGAAGGTCGCAGCATTTAACTTTGCAGGCAAAAGGTAGGGTCCAAACAGTCGATTACGGTAGATACCAATCCACACGTTCACACTAAATTCATGCTGAAAATTTTCATACGACCAAATATGTTGATTATGAAAATTTACCACTCCACGTCTAGTGAAGCATACTTAAAAACTCCCTATTATTATCAGTTCTATCAAGAATCCACTGACAAAATGTGATTCTTCGTTCTCCGTCCCCTGGCTGTAGTCCTTGCACAGGTTGCAAATGGTAAGGACGTCTATGGTCATTTCTAAGAACACGGTGAACATGGCTTGCTGAAATTCCCAAGGCACCAGAAACTCTCCTAAAACTTGTGGTCGGATCTCTATCAAACTTACGCAGAATCATACGGGTAAATCTGCGCTGACGAACATTTATGTTTTGATCCCTTTGGAGATTTCCAAAACCATTTTCAATTATTTGGCGATGCACTCTTACAAATACTGAGCGAGTTGGATGTCGTCTGTTTGGAAATCTTCGTGCGTATTCTCTGGCTGCTTCTGCTGCGTTTCCATTTACAAAGCCATACACAAAATGAATATCCGCCAGCTCTTGATTGAAGAATAAAAATGGCATTTTTATAAAACTTACAAAAAAAAACAGGTAAAAGAAACTAAATTTCGGGCATTCACAATTGCAAAAAGACGTTTCAGGTTTCAACAGACAACAAAACTAACTGTCAACTAATTGACGTTTAACCTTATTCTGCTTTCAATTTTTGCAGGCACAGCCTAGTTCTAAAAATTATCGAGATTCTGACTTTTTAACGTTATTTTATCATAAATAATTAAAAATGCATCGAACCTTAAAAAACGAAATATCTCAAAAACGGCTAACTATAACGAAAACTCACAGGGAGCTTTTTCATGTTGAAAAGTGCGAAGAATCAGTTTTTTTATTCAAAAAGCAAAAAATTGCACTAAGAAACATTTTTCGGTCATTTTAATACACTACAGGTACACTAGAGAGCGCCCTCTAGCGGCTACAGTAAAACTATGCCCATGGTTCGTTTTATCGTACCAAAAAACCCTTGTATACCAATTTTCACTGTTATACATCAAATATTGTTCGAAATATTTAAAAAAAAAACTATTTTAGAAAGCAAATTTGAACACCCTGTATTTCGGAAGCCACGTATTTTTCGACCCATGTTTATATAGACTTTATGCATTAATTTTAAGAGTTCTATCGAATCTTAACGTTATGCAACAATAAACTGAAACACCCTGTATATGCGGTAGATGAACTATACATACCCGACAATAACTTCGTCAGTGTGTTTCCCCGTAGTATCTTCATGCTCTTCTAGCTCTCTGAAGTCATGAGACATGAGCAACGTTTTCCAACTTGGAATCGGTAGTACCATACTTGATAGATATTCTTGCGACACTCCATGCTGCTCAACAGCGTGAGCTATACAATCCGTTTTGCTATACGTCACTAAAGTACAGCTACTGCATTGAAACCTGCAACAAATATTTCGTAATGTTTGCATTAGCGTATATTTACTGACAATACTTTTAAATAATAATAATTTCGAAAAGTAGTGTATAGAACTAGTAGGCCATTAGCCCATGGTCAGTATTTACTGACCTCCTGGCCACACGGTCAACAATAAATCTAATAAAAATCGACGTGGGAATCTCTCAAACAAGATTCTAAATGATTGTTTCAATATAATTGGAGAGAAATTATTATTATTGTTGGTGAATCATTGTTTCGTACATGGTGAACACCCATCTAAATATACTAAGTGACATATAAATCCGAACACCCAGTTTAAATGGTTTTATTTTAATAAAATTTTGTATAAGTACTTAATGAAGCATAATAAGTAAATGATAAAAATTTCAAAATGATTGCACTGCTTTAAAGCCTTTTGACCTTTAATAATGAGTGGATGCACCCTGATGTGCTACGCATTCTTCAACGCGCCTAGGCATGCTTCTGATCAGGTGGTCAATGACCTCCTGTGGTATCTCATTCCAGGCAACCACCAACTCCTCTCGAAGTGCTTCTACAGTCTGAGGAGGACGTTGCAAATTGAGCAATCTCCTACCCATCATATCCCACACGTGCTCAATTGGGGATAAGTCGGGAGATGTTGGTGGCCATGGTAACAATGTGACATCATTATGTTGAAAGAAGTCTATTGTGACTCTTGCAACATGTGGTCGGGAATTATCTTGTTGGAAAGTTGGATCTGCCAGGGTGTCAAGATAGGGTAAAAGATGGGGTTCTAGAACTTCGTGGATATAACGCTGCGCGTTCATGTTACCTCTGATGAAGATTAAAGGTGACCTGGAACCATAAGCTATAGCACCCCAAACCATAACTCCAACAGTGTGATGAACATGTCTTTCAACAAAAAACTGTGGATTCCTCCTTTCACCACGTCGCCTTCTAACCCTGGCACGACCATCGTGCATGCCTAAACAAAATCGAGACTCGTCACTAAAGACAATACTGTTCCATTCCTGATCCCAGAGTGACCGTTGTCTGCACCACTCAAGGCGATTACGTCGGTGTTCTCGAGTTAAAGGGAGGACCCAGTGTGGCCGGTATGAAAACAAGCCAAAACTTCTCATTCGTCGGTAAACACTTCGCATGCCAATAGGTCTTCCGTGTTCTGCAAACCATTCATTTGCAATGGACCTGGTAGTGGATAAACGGTCCCTTAAGGCCAATAATCTTAGGCGGCGATCTTCACGGTCTGTTGTTCTACGGCGGCGTCCAGTGCCCCTTGCTCTTTGCGTATGGCCTTCTCGAAGCCATGCCTGACAACACCTAACCACAGTGTCTACACTTCTTTGCACTCTAACTGCAATTGCCCGAAAAGAAAGTCCAGCTTCCCGAAGTCCCACTATACGGCCCCTATCAAACTCACTAAGTTGACGAAATCGTACAGGTCTCCGTACTCTAGGCATCGTAACCGATCGTAAATGATGTCAAGAACCAAAATCCGCCAACGTTGATTCTATACTGCGGCTGAAATATTCATTTTTAGAGCGTTAGTGAATTAAAAAAAAGCAGTATAAAAACCGGAATGTCCAACTGATAAGGCTGAACATTTTTTCACTTGTTATTTACAGTAAGATAAATACATTCACCAACTTTTATTAAAATAAAACCATTTAAACTGGGTGTTCGGATTTATATGTCACTTAGTATATATACAGGATGACCTATTGATGTGGGGACAGAATATTGCTTTATAGGTTAAACGGGGATCAGGCGGCATTTGTAAAGTGCAAAGACTCACATATCTATGCTGTTTTTTAATGGATTACCCATTTTTGTTTCATGTTCAAATGAAAAAATATGAGAACGAACGAGTTGCTCTTCATTATTGAACAGGTTTAACGTATGATTTTGTTTTTCCATGATTTCACAAAATTGACCGTAACTCAAAAAAACGATTCAGCTTTGTACTAAGGTATGACTCGTGTTCCAAATGGGGTGTACCATGACCACTAAAAAGGTATATAGGGTGAAATTTGTTGCTTTTAAGTCCTATATTACGCTCTGAAAAGAATCTGGCGAATTATCAGTAACTCTGCTTCTATTTGTAAATTAAAATACGTTTAGTTTTTACTGTTCCGAAAGTTAACAATTCTGAGTTGTACACCAAGAAACACCAATACAAATGGTTTCAGAGGGCTGGAAGACAATAGAAAACAGTGGACAGTGTTTTTAGTCTTCAAAAGGGCGTTTAAAACTATTGACAGGGATACATTATGTACAAAATTGCATCACTACGGATTTAAATGATCCCTATTCAAAATTCTACAGAACTAATTCCTTGACAGAACCAAAATTGGATCTACTTTATCAAGCTCCAAAAATATTTCTGTTGGTGTACTGCAAGGTCCACTACTATTTATAACATGCATTAATGAAATTTGCAATATTTTAGAGTATAAAATTCAAATAAAAAAATATACATATCATATGAAAATATAGACACTGATTTAAAAATGTTAAATTCTGACTTGGCAAAAGTCATAAATTAGTTAAATGTAAATAAACTAAAACTGAATGCTTCTAAAACAAAATGTATACTAATACGGAAATACCCACATGAACATACTATCACAGTTAGGGTAAATGGTGAAACGATTGAAAATGTTGAATCAATTAAATATTTAAGGCTCTCCAGTCTTAGTAAATATTCCAGAAAAATAGTTTATAATACAATTATTCTACCGCATTTACTATATTGTTCAACTATCTTGTAAACGTATATTATGTTTTCTCAATCGCTATAATGTCTTATCAGATACCCAGCATGGGTTTAGACCCTCACGATCTATAGAAACGGCGACCTTTGACTTTTTTCCCATATATATAGAGAAGTAGACGGAAACAGATACGTTGCTGGACTATTTTTTGACCTTTCGAAAGCACCACTGCTCTTCATTGTCTACATAAATGACTTGAAATTGTCTGGTTTCATGATTAATTATGCGGATGACACATCTATCGTCGTCAGTGCCACGACACCGCAGGATCTTCTCGAATCTATTGAGAAAGTCAAAAGTGAAATGAGCAAGTGGTGCCAGTCTAACCGCCTCATTTTGAATGAAGATAAGACTGTTGAAATTCATTTCTTCAACAAGAAACCACGCATGGATATTGATAGCTTTTCAGATCGAACTGTCTTCTTAGGAACTCATGTTGATAGTAAGTTAAGCTGGCAACCACAACTAAATCACATTTGCAACAAAATTAACAGTGCTTATTTTGCAATATTGAAATTAAAGCCTAACATCCATCTAAACTCACTCTTAGATATGTATTACGCGCTAGTTTATTGTCACCTCACTAACAATATAATCTTATGGGGACAGGCAACAATGATTAACAGATTATTCATCCTGCAGAAAAGAGTACTTCGATTAATCTTTAATATTAATAAGAGGGACTCTTGTAAAGAAATATTTAGACGCTACAATCTGCTTACATTAACTTCCATCTATATCTACAAATGTGCCATCTTCGCATTTGAACATAGCAGTAGATTTGTTCGTAACAACGCCATTAATAACACTGGACAACAAATTTTAGTTTTTTAATTGTATCTTGTGGGAAAAGTGCACTTCTTTTTTAATTTTGGGGCGCTGAATCCAAAAATGACAATGAAATAAAAAAATTAGTTGCGGTTTAGAAAAAAAACTTTTTATTTTTAAGGATATATTAAAAAAAGTAACCAGATTCATATACTTATAAGAATCACTATATGCGCTGTCTTTTTGCTGTTCTTTTATGGAGCATCTCTACAAAGAATCCAACAGTAGTCTGCAAGCATGGAAGGATTCCACTTTCCCTGGTACCTTTTTTTCCATTGTTGAAATATCCTGATGAAAACGTTCGCCGTGCTCATCACTTACGGCTCCGCAATTATCAGGAAAAAAGTCCAGGTGTGAGTGTAGGAAATGTATCTTAAGAGACATATTACAGCCCATCTTTTGATACGATGACAGCATATTTTTGACAAGGGTTTTATAGTTGTCAGCTTTTCTGTTTCCCAAGAAATTAGTGACCACCAGACGGAAATCATTCCAAGCAGTTTTTTCAATACCTGTTAAAGTGTTTTCAAACTGTGTATCTTTCAAAATATTTCGAATCTGTGGCCCAACAAAAATACCTTCTTTAACCTTTGCCTCACTTAGTCTTGGAAATTTCTGACGCAGGTATTGAAAATCTGACCCATCTCTATCTAATGCCTTGACAAAGTTTTTCATTAGGCCCAACTTGATATGCAGTGGTGGTAATAATTTTTTTTTCGAATCTACTAATGGCTTATGCTGTACAATTTTTTGACCTGGCTCTAGGAATTGACGAACAGGCCAGTTTTGTCTGGTGTAATGAAGTGCCTTTGCCCGACTGTCCCATTCACACAAAAAACAGCAAAACTTTGTGTAGCCTAGCTGCAGCCCAAGTAAAAGTGCAACAACTTTCAAATCGCCACAAATATGCCATTGGTGCTCATCGTATTTTACGCATGTCAATAGGTACTTCATATTGTCATATGATTCTTTCATGTGAACTGCATACCCTACAGGGAGAGTTGATAAAATATTTCCAATATGCAATAACACTGCCTTTAAACTCAATGTTGAACTGTCTATAAACAATCTCCATTCTTCTGGGTTATAGTTTATATTTAAAGCCGCCAGTAAGCCGTTAATGTTACTGCGGAAAACCAAGTTATTCTCCATATTGAAAAATGGTTCTAAGTCTTTGTGGCGTTTACGAAAAACACATACCGAAACATCGTCTTCTAACAAGTTCCACTGCTGCAGTCTTGATCCAAGTAACTCTGCCTTACATTTTGGAAGTGCTAAATCTCTTACAAGATCATTTAATTCTGACTGTGTTATTTTGTGCGGTTGGTGGCATGACGTGCTCGGTATAAAATCAGGATCTCTTGAAATTGATGGCATATCTTCTTCCTGACGAATCACTCGATCGCCATGATCTGATTCGTTTTCTGATTCGCAAGTGTAGGATTCTGGGGGTTTTGGAATAGGATTTTCGTCACTGTGAGGCACAGGTCTCATCGCAGATGGTATGATTGGGTAGTTAATTACCGATTTTTTTTTCTTGGACATACCTGTGGCTTGTCCAACACAAGGTACCATGCAAAAGTAACAATCATTAATATGATTTGTAGGCTCTCTCCAAACCATTGGGACAGCAAAGCGCATAGACCGTTTTTTGCCATTTAACCAGCTCCTCAGACATGAAGCACATGTACTACAGCAGATGTGGGGTGCCCACTGTTTGTCTTGATCACCTAGTTTACAACCGAAATAAAGCTGATATGCCTTTGTTATTAGTGGAGTAATAGACCCTCTCTGAGACGCAAAAGTCACATAACCACACACGTAACAAAACTGATCTGGATTGTTTACACACTTTCGAGACATCTTGCATGAACGCTGTCAGCCAACTGAGGAAAAAATGGCTAATATAAAACAATATAATGTACACGTATGTATAACGTAACACAATCATGCCGATTACATCACCTTTCCTTGCCGAATATAAAAATGTAGCACGTGCATTCTTGTGAATTACAGTATATTAACACTGTCACAGCAGGAACACATATAATTACCGTATCTCTAAAACTTGAACTAATATTGAAAAAATAAGTTTCATTCGGGTTTTAGCACATTCAAAATAGTAACCTTTTGTTGATTTTATTTAGGATATTTTTGGCTGTTGATCAGTGTAAACAATACAACACTAGAACAGGGCATGATCTGAGTATACCGACACATAACTCTGCCCTATTCCAAAAATCTCCCACTCTAGCGTGCACTAAGGTATACATTAATCTGCTGAGTGAGTTGCGGAGAAGCACTAATATCCTTGCGCTGAAAAAACATCTCAAAAAATATCTGGTTGAAAAATGCTTTTACTCTCTACATGAGTTTTACTAACACATGAAAGTATCTGTTTTTTAAATTCTTTTAAGCTGTTAATCATTTCGTTATCAGTGAATTGTCTATTATCGTGGAGTAAATGTATTTTAATTTCACTTTTTATTCGAGTTTTAACGAAAGTATGTATGTTTTCTTTTTAAGCTTTTAACCATTTGTCCTCACTGCTCGATGTTTGTTGTGTTTATTTATTATGTATGTATTTCTAACAGATTCTCCTACCGCTTTTCTTTGTATCAGCTTCAATGATTTTTACCGGCTAGACGAACATTTTTTGTGATAAAAAAAGTCGCTGTATATGTACATATTTTTACCGTTACAGATTGAACACATTACGATTCTTGAGCTGTACCTATAATGTGATTTAACCTTTTAAAATGTTTTGTAATTGTAATGTCCTTATTTATTTTATAATTATAAGTATTTTTCCGGCATATTTGCTCAAACGCATATATGACCTTCAAATTGATATTGACAAGTCTTATATCATGTAACATGATAGGACAATAAACTATCTATCTATCTATCACTGCCAAAATTACAAGTCCTGCAAAATAAAGCTATGAGAATAATATTGACCAAAATTAAGTACACCAAAACAAAATCTATGTTACAAGAATTGCAGTGGATGAATATAAAAAATTCATATTTGGTTATTGTTGTATTTAAAATAAAAAAAAATCAAACAATGAATCCTTACCTAAACCAGGAGAAATGCGCCGACATATGATTCATAAGCATCGTCAGCTTGGGAAATGTCTTCTGGCACGCCTTGCACTGCAAGAGATGGACGTCCATGTACGATGATGCCTTCTGGGATAGGTCTGCATGGTGTAATTCCTGTTTCTGTTCTCCATGATACGGAGCAGCCACTTCAGAGTGCTTTCGTTTTAATCCTTGTTGCTGCTGATCTGAACCCATTTTTCTCTCTTTTTTGGACCGCTGCTCATCCGACAGCATTTCTTCCCGCTTCGTATCCTTTCTAGCGAGTGTTTTTCGAGCTGATTCACCTTCCATACACCGATCGTCGATGAGATTAGAAATATTTCTCGTTTTGGGCGATTTATTTTTATCCTTTTTTGTTTCGCAACTTCTTCTCGGGGAACCGCTTGTTCTGCACGATTCTTTTTTATCAGCTTTCGGCGACGTTTTAGTGAATTTTTGTTTGTTGTTCGTATTCGGCTCTCGGCCGTGTTCAGTACAGTCTCTGGAAACTACCTGGATAAAACTGTTCACGGATTTCAACGAATCAGATTCTTCTTGCGAGAATCCTCGCAATTCTGGAGAACTGCCTCTTCCATCGGAGTCTCCGCCGATCGATCTGTCGGTTTCATCCATCTTTTGTAAATTCACAATGCATTCGTTGGAAATCACGGAAGGCCGTTCGTTCTTTTTTGAAGAAACACTATTAATTTCTTGATATTTACCACCAGCCTGATCAGAGTTCTTCTCGTTGTCGATTTTTCTACATTCCGCTGCTGCTGGACTTTCAGTACGTTTTCCATTGTTTTTGGTAGATTTGTGTTTTTGAAGCACACGTTGAGAATCACTAGAAAACCTCCCGAGTCTATCTCTGCTCAGCTTTCGTGCGGTTGTACGTTTCCGAACCCTGATACTTTGATTTTCGATACCGCTACTGTCACTACTGATACTGATTACGCTCGACTCACTTTTTATCGTCAAACATGAAGCAGAATTCGATGGATCTACTGCTAAACTAAGTTTTTCTGGTAGATTGCAATTATCGGTACGATCAGCCTTCCTTTCAGCGTTGTTATCCAACATATCTACTATACGACGTACTTTTATTTTAGCAGACGATTCTGGTGTTGAATTTAAGGTTCCGCATGAGTTGATCTGATCTAGCATGAATATGTGCATTCCGTTATTTTCCACTGCAAGTGCGTTACTATAATACTTGGCTCTATCGTTGCTACTAAAATTATTCGTTTCTACCTGAGAACAATCAACGTGGTTTGAAAACAATGTGGTCACATCATTATTTCCAATAACTGTCTCGTTATCCCACGACACTAATCTGTAATTACTTCGGCTACTCGGATTATCCATTAATGGCAGCGATCCTACGGCTCCAGGACTTTCATCTAATTGTAGCGAGCTGTCATTTAGGTCTTCATCTTTAATGCTACTGTTATTTTCTTGGTCTTTTGAATCATTTGTAGTATATGGCACTGGGTAATCTTCTTCTTTAATGTCATTTGAGTGATATTCCGCTGTTGTCATCATTGACGATTCTACTAAACCGTCATCGCCATTAGAGACGCTCTTGTGGCCTGAAGTTGCAGTGGAGCCTTCAGACACATCATCGTATCGAATAAACTCCTTATTTCGATTTTCTGTTACGATGGCACTGGCTGTTCCTATTTTGTTGAATTCATGTGTTATTTCCGGCACCGTACTTTCAAGCGGTAATGCGTACTTTTCTTCATCGCTGCTCATACTCTCGCTTGAAATTAATGTTATAGTTTTGTTCTTTGTCATACAGTTAGGGTTGTTCAGCATCGTTGCTAATATGGTACTGTCAGATGGAGCATCTCTATTTTGAATATTACTTGCACTACGAGCATCTTCCACAGGCGCTTCTCTTGACGTAGTTTGTTTTGGCGACCTGTTAGTAGCATTCTCAATTTCATTTGGTCTACTTTCTATACGCATTACGACGTTGTTGATATCTCTGAAATTACCATTTACTTCGAGTTTCGATATTTTATCTGTATTGCCAACGGATCCTGTTGATGATGGTGCTTTTGTATTCACAGCGCAAGGAATACAAGTATCTTGTGAAGTTTTTTCCTCCCACTCCTGCGTTTCAACTTCATTCTTAATCGTACAATTACTGAAGGTTGATATAGCATCATCTCGATTCCCATCATTTGCATCCACTAAAGCGGACGTTTCAGCAGCATTACGCGAGTCTTTTTCTTCTAAACCGGCGTCGTTGGATATATTTGTTAAGGGATGCAACGCGGTACTGTTTGGAATGCCTTCATTTACAGAAGTCGTTGTTGGCTTCTCAGCAGTTCTTTCAGTATCACCTGGAAATCAAAAATAGATCCAGTGAATAGAGATGTACGGTTTCTTTTGAAACGTCTATTAAAACAAAACTTGATCGATTTTTTATTTTAGTTTTTTCCGTAGCCTCACCGCCACTAGGTGAATTTTCTGGCATATTATATAAAGGGTTGTCCAATAGGGACGCAGGAAAGTAAACGTCAATTTGACATAGACGCCATCTTTGTTTTCTGTCACCGACATGTCATTTTGTTAGTTGAATGTTTACCATTGATCGCTATGGAGTCGTATTCGATTGAAGACCGCATTAAAGTTATTCAAGAGCACTACAAAAATGGTGCAAAAATAAAAAACACGTTTCGCGCGCTTCGTGAACATTTCGGTCGCAACAACCGCCCAAACGAAACAACCATCGGTCGACTGGTGCGTAAATTCGAGGCAACAGGTTCTGTGACAAATCTGCCAGGCTCTGGCCGGCCAAGGAGCGTTCGCACACCGGAAAATATTGCTGTTGTGAAGGAGAGTGTGAGAGACGATCCGAAACAATTAACAACGCGTCGATCCCAAGAATTGGGCATTTCGAGAACCAGTTTGCTCCGCATTCTCCACAAGGATTTGAATGTACACGCCTACAAGATCCAATTGACGCAAGAGCGGCATCGGGCCGACCATTTTTCGCGCCGAACGTTCTCAGATTGGCTCCTTGAACACCGCCAAATTGATGCCAATTTTTCATCAAAAATCATGTTCAGCGACGAAGCGCATTTCACTTTGAATGGGACGGTAAACAAGCAAAACTGCCGCATCTGGGCGAACGAAAATCCCCGTGAGTATCAAAAGCAGCCGATGCATCCTAAAAAAGTGACTGTGTGGTGTGCATTGTGGTCAAAAGGCATCATCGGACCTTACTTTTTCGAAAATGCGGCCGGGGACGCCGTTACCGTCAATTCTGAGCGATATCACGTGATGATAGAGGTCTATTTTTTGCCGCAACTTGAAGGAATGGATATGGATGATGTTTATTTCCAACAAGACGGTGCAACATGCCACACAACCAACGTCAATATCCATCGATTGCAGTCCTTCTTCGGTGATCGCGTGATTTCGCGCAGAGGAAATGTGCCATGGCCACCAAGATCGTGCGATTTGACTCCCTTGGACTTCTTTTTATGGGGATATTTGAAAAGCAAAGTCTACGTCAACAAACCAGCCACCCTCCAAGAACTCAAAAACAACATCATTGCCGAGCTAAATGCCATAGAACCGACCATGTTGCAAAATGTCATAGAAAATTTCGACCATCGCGTGGACGTCTGTAAATCCAGTCGTGGTGAACATTTGAGCGATATTATTTTTCATACATAAATGGCATAAATGAACCTTCAAAATAAAGTACCCAACTTGATTTGAATATCAATATTTCTTGTGTCTCTGTACTGTAGACCGATAAGATTAATTACTGTTATAGCAAAAATAATATTGTGTGAATCATAATATACTACTACTACTCTATTAAAATTAAGCAAATATGGTTTTTACTGGAACATCACTGAAACATATTTAAATAATTGAATTCTGAAGATATTATATTTCAAAGGCAGTGAAATTCCCCTTCACGGACACCTCCTTTAGGGTGGGTTTCACCAAGGTTGTCAAATCAACAGTCCGTTATTCTCCAATTATAGGGTAACAGTCCGTTAAATACAACGAATGAGTTTAAAGTTCCAATCAACAAATTTTAGCAACCAATAGCTATGAAATGTTGAAAACAAAATACTGTCAAAGTATGAGATGACATCTTGTCATTGAAACATCACCAGCTTATTGAATATTAAGAAATTACATACATATAATTCAGTCATAATTTAAAGAAATGTTTGATTTTTTAATTAAATTCATGTTTCAATTACTATTGTTGATTTTTATTCATGTTTATATTATTTTCTTCAATTGATATGCAATTTTACTGATTTAACATCACCTCACGTGTTTTTTTTTCCTATAAACCTCTTGCAGATAGCCTACTTGATGACAGGCTCTACAAAAAAGTTCATAGATATTGCTCGTTTCCGAATATTCATTCATTTACTTGCCGTTCATCAGAACCATTATGGCACCTTAGATTGATATTCCCACAAAACCATTCAGGTCTTTTGATATCCATACATCCATAAAGTTGAATATTTTTCGTTGTTCGGGAACTGATAAAAAACTACAAATTTTCCATATTTTTCTTTTTTCACGAGTACACATTCTAGGTTATATTTATATTAGACATTATTTGAACACAGCTGATTATTGCATTTCAAGACTCATCGATTGACACATGTGTGGGATCTGTCAACCCTTGGTCCCAGTCACAAAACATAAATCAAATCCAAGCGAATAACCAAAATTTCTGTGTTATGTGCCGCGGTTATAATATGGTTCAAGATGACACACGGGTTGATGACGTCAGTTACACGAATCGCTTGAACGCGTTAGTTTTAACCGCGGTTTTGTTGCAAGTTGTTTATTTTAGAAAAGCGCGTATATAATCTCTGATTATTTTTATTATCACTTAATAATCGGTGCTTTTTCGTCTACAACTGTATATGGAAAGTTTAAATAAGAAACCTTTCATAATATTCATGGGAGAAATGTTTTTTTCAGATTTTTTTTAATGATGGAACCGTGGCTTTGTAGCTATGATAAATTTCAATTCTCTAAATTTTTCCGCATGTCAAAGAAAACATTTATTGATTCAGCAGAAATGATGAAAAAAGAAATTAGCAAAACCGTATACAGGTGGATATCATCTAGTGAGTTTATATGGTCATATTTTAATATTCTTGTGGTATATGACTACACAGGATACTTTGTTAAGCATAGGAACTACATTTAAAGTGTCCCCAACAACCGTAATGAGTATAACTAATAAGGTGCTCCACTTTATGGTAAAACTGAAGTCAGCCTGTATCAATTTTCTCAAAAATGAAGCTGAAGTACAATAACAATATCCAATACCCGGCAAAATTCTAACTTGTCACATTTCAAATAATAACCAGAAATATAAAACTACTCTTGAGTTGGGTAAATACCACAATTTTGCGGTGATAACTATGATTCGTGACGTCACGGATCTTATAACCAAACTGATAACTACACTCGCTTGAACGGATTGGTAAATACCAAGCCAAAATGGTAAATACCATTTCCATTTCGTTATCCGCTTGAAATTGATTATATACTCTGAAGAAGGTTTAATTCCATGCTATTCAATGACAACACGATGACTTGCGTGGTTGTCAGCGGCCATTTCATGAGGGTGCGACATGGTTGCCAGATTGTGCATTAATATCCCGTTTCATCCCCCTGGTCCCAGTGGAATAAGCTCCGCCAACTGTTGAAATATACTCTACTATGGTTTATAAGAGTATTCGTGGAATTTTTCCCAAAATCGTTGCACAACACTTGGAAATGCAAATGAAAATTTAAAATTATTCCCATGACGCCGCAAAGTAGCTCCGTCGGTACCTCGGGTTATGCATCTTGACAGTAAGGATGTTCGATAGGATCCTATATTTAGAAGTATCAATACATTTCACGAGTATCGTCATCTTTCGATCCGGACTGTGTCAGAAAGAGTGACTACCATTTGGCTGCGACATTACCCTGCCAAATCAGACATATCTTTCATCATTTTCAAAGAAATTGTACAAAATCTTCAAATTTGTGAAATTAGCGAGTTTCACTTCATACGTTGTTACCAGACATGCCCAAATCATCAGTTGCTGCCGTGATATTCATCCCGACCACTGCATCCCTACGGCTAGGCGATCTGTATGTTAAATTTGTATTGATAGGGCAGCAGGTTATGCTATAAATCATATGTCACAGTTTTTGTGCACTGATTGCAACGGTTAGATGATACCAAAAATATTTTCATAAATAGGAGATCTTTCCCATCTTTCCGCAATAATGAACACAAATGTTTCAAATGGTCCTTCAGCTGGGGCTCAAAAATGTCTCCTTCATTCAATGAACAGTATGTCAGGCGGTTATAAAACTCCTGACGAACTCTCAAGAGGGTAGAAGGCTGTATTTGCCCGAGCGCTTCAACGATTTTCACCTGTAGGTTATGCAAATTGTCTGCTCTCTCATTGAAAGTGAAAACAGTACTTTTCACATAACCCCACAAGAAAAAATCATTGGGCGCTAGATCGGGTGATCTAGGAGGCCATTTTATTGTTCCGTTACCGTCAATAATCCGGTGGCCGAACACACTTTCAAGGTAAGTGTGTACGATCGCCGGATTATGCGCCGGGCATCCATCTTGTTGGAACCAAATATTAGCGAGATCAATGCCAAGCTGCCTAATTGCAGGAACAATCTGCGTCTGTAGTAACGCCAAATATTTTGCAGCCGTAAGAGTTCCATCAATAAAGAACGGTCCGATAATGTTATTACCTAGAATTCCTGCCCATACATTCAGTTTCTGTGGATACTGCGTGCGGACGGGAATACTGAGGTGTTTATTTTCCCGAGACCAATACCGAACGACTGAAGGATTGTGATGACCGTGGAGAGGGAATGTGGATTCATCAGTATACAAAATGTTACCAATAAAACTTCCATCCCTGTTCGTCTTCTCCATGACCGTTTCACAAAACTCCATTCGACGGTATTTGTCTAAAGGAAATATTTCTTGAACCGTTCCAACCTTGAAGCTATGATAGCCGATGCGATGCAAAATATTTCTTGTTGTTCTGGGTGTGAGATCGGCTATTGGTACCATTTCAGCAATTTTTCTGCTTGAGCATGGCTCAGATACTTGTGCAGCGGCACAAACAGCAGTTTCGATCTCCTCCCTTTTCTCGCTAATTTTTGGTTTCCAACCTTCAGGGTGCATGCAGCTATGGCACTTATGTAAGCAGCCCACCCTCTTGAATTTTTCGTAGGTATTTATAACCGTTGCGTGAGACGGAATTGGCCGCGCGTGCTGAATTCTTCTTGCGAGTACATTTTTAAGATATTTTGGATTAAATAAAGACGCACCTTTCCTACACAAAACCCAACCGCAGAGTGAGTCATGAATCCCTTATCGCACTTGACTACGGCACGCGCGTTAACGGTAGGAAATATGTACGAATAGCGATGAAAGTAGACGAGCCGATGCGCTGTTGCCAAGAAATGATTTCCCATGTATAACAATGGTTTTTCCTAAGGTGTATAAACTTTATTCTGCAAAAGTTACTACAAACTTCATTGAAAATCTAAAAATTAAAAAAATGGGGGTTTCATTTAAAAATCTAAAGTGTAATGCAATATCTCATTTTTGGATCACCCTGTATTGTACGGCTATAGATGGAAAGACGTCCTCCTAGAAATCAAAATTGATGTGTCCGAGCGTTTTTCCCAAAATATACCAGGAGAGTCACAAATGGGGGTTGCGACCTTTTCGCTGGGTTTTAGGATCAGACTGCCTGATGGAAATGACGTTTTTCTGTGATGCAGAAGTCATGTAACATCCAAAAACAATATATCATTTTCAAATTTTTTCGCGATTACAATACTTCCTCGCCAATCGGCGTGGGAAGTAAAAGATCAGTTACCTTCACAACAGACAGCGCCTGCTACGCCACTGTTAGCATTCTCGTCACAGCCTTGTTCGGAAACGGACGGTCTCGGCTTGTACGTTCTGAGCTGGTACGGCTTTCTTTTAGAGGCGCCCTTAAAACCGAGAGGCGAGACGGACTTGTCCTTTATTTTGCCTCCTTTCGCTTCCTCTTCCCGCTTCTTGTTCTCCTTTATCGTGTTGCAGACGGCCATTCGCTTCAAGCACATTGTGACGTGCGATTGAAGCGCCGCCTTGCGTTCGTACCGCTTACCGCATCCGCCGCACATCTGAAAGTCTTCTACGTTGGTTATCCACTGTAACATATGAAGGTAGGTTGTTAAACCTTGATGGTATGTTGTCATCAAAATATACTGAGGGACAAGAAAATGTATGTTTATCACGAAAATTCTTCTCAATAAACTACACGAAATTTAACATTTAACATGGTACTATTCTCATCTCATCGCCTTCCTATACCTAGTTTTATTGATTTATTATTCTGTTCTGTTTATCCGGGTGTTTTTATTAGTATTGCATATAATTGATGCGTTGTCTTTATTCTGTATAGATCTAATATATTTATCATGTGGTTATACTCATTTTACTGGCAAAATACGTTGGGTGCTCTTTAAGAATAAGCCTTCGCCAGATGTTTTCAATATGTCTAGACGTCTAAAATTCATGAGCTTCAACGTAAGGTCAATTCAGTCTGGTTTTCTAACTTTGAAGGAGTATGTTGTTGACTGTGCTGTCGATGTCCTGGGTCTCAGTGAGACTTGGCTAACCCCAGATATTGATTCCTCCTCAGTATTTATCAACGACTTCAATGTCGTTAGAGCAGATCGAAATAGCAGAGGCGGGGGCGTCGCGTTTTATGTGAGAAATGGTATTGCCTTCAAAATATTGCACTCTAATATCACCGCAGTATTGGAAGAACTTTGGATCTCTGTAAAGGTTAATCAACGCAAATATTGTCTAGCTATAGTCTACCGTCCACCATCGGCAAACGTGCTTGACTGTTTTCATCAATTAACTGAGTCTTTAACCAACCTTTCACTCGATAATGATTACGCAATTGTCATGGGCGATTTTAATATTAATGTTTTAGTGAACGACGGCCGATCCGAGATGCTGAACTGTTTTCTAGAGTCTTTTGATCTGTCTCAGTTAGTGAAAGAGCCCACACGTATAACTTCCAATAGCCAGACAGCTATAGACTTGCTCATGGTTAGCTCTGCTGATATAATAAGTAGTTATGAAGTTGTTGACGTAGATGGAATATCTGACCATCTAGCCCTAATATTTTATGTAGATGCATCGGAGATAAGCAACCTGTGTAAATTGAGGACATATCGTGATTACTCTACCTTTAGCCTAGACAATTTCTACCATGATTTACTTTTAATAAACTGGGATTTTATATATACGTTGAGAGATGTGGATCAAATGATTGACTTCCTGAGCTCTAATATCTTGTGCACCTTCAACTTGCATGCTCCTGTCAGAAACATTCGAGTTACCAAGCCACCAGCTCCTTGGCGAACATTCAACATAAAACTCATGATGCGAACAAAAAGTGACGCATATAAAAAATTTAAACGTACAGGAACGATTGCTGCCTGGGAATTCTATAAGAAAATCAGAAATTATGTTTCTAGTGCTATTAGGCGAGAGAAAAAAGCCTACCTCGATTATGTTATGAGACATAAAAATTCGAAGACTACATGGAATATACTTAGATCTTTGAATATCGTTAAACATAACTCCATAAGTCTACCTCCACATCTTCAGGATCTCGATTCATTAAATAGTGCTTTTTTAAACGTACCTCAAACAACCAAATCATTAACTCAATTGAACCTTTTAGACAAATATGAAAACGTCAAGAATAGTGGTACTTTTCTGTTCACGACAGTTTCCCCTGCCACTGTAGCGAAATTTATCAATCGCATCAAAAGTCATGCTAAAGGCTCAGATGGCATCACAATTGATATGATCCGTATAATACATAAGCATTTGCTCAAGTATATTACCTTCATTATTAACTTTTGTATAACAAATAATCTTTATCCCTCTTCCTGGAAGAATGCTCTTGTTCTCCCTCTGCCTAAATCTAATTATCCTTCAAGTTTTTCTGATCTTCGTCCTATAAGCATTTTACCAAGTTTATCTAAGCTTTTGGAAATGGCTCTACATGAGCAGCTGCACACATTTGTTTGTCAAAATAATTTACTGACCTGGGAGGTGGCTTCAGACCATTACATAGCACCACCACTGCGCTCCTGTCTATATCGGATAATATTTATAGCGCGGCTGATCAAGGAAAGCTGTCCTGCTTAGTTCTTCTTGATTTTAGCAAGGCCTTCGATACGGTTGACCCAAATATTCTCTGTAAAAAGCTTAGATACTTTGGCCTGTCATCATCGGCTTGCACGCTGATTAAGAGCTTTTTAACTGATCGCTCACAGTCTGTCATATATGAAAACAATATATCAACTTCTTTATTCAGAAATTTTGGTGTCCCTCAAGGATCTATTTTGAGTCCCCTTTTATTTTCTCTTTATATATGTGATTTTCATGAAACCGCCAGCAACTCAATCGTTCATCATTACGCCGATGATACCCAACTTTATAACTGCTTCGATCCTGATGAATATCTGCTTGGCCAACATCAAATAAATCAAGACCTGCAGTCTATTTTTGACATATCTAGTGCTCACAATCTAAAACTAAATCATGCTGCATTTTATTTGGGCCCAAAAAGAATCGTGAAATAAATCAATATCGCATTAATATTATGGTGAATAATGAAGACATATCCTTCGTAAACGAATGCAAAAACCTTGGTATCTGGTTTGACTGCAAGCTACGCTTCACTAAACATGTTAGCCAACTATGCAATGCGTCCTATAATGTGCTTCGTCAGTTATACCCGAGTCGAAGTGTCCTGTCGACACAGCTCAAGCTTAAACTCTGCGAGTCCCTTATCCTGTCAAAATTATCTTACGGTGACTCTGTTTATGGACCTGCTCTTTTACAACGTGATGCCGAGCGGATTCAGATGATACAAAACTCATGCATCAGATTTTCTTATGGAATCCGTAAATTTGATCATATTAGTAGCGCTTTTGACCAATCGGGATGGTTTAAGATGAACAAATTGAGGAAACTGCATTGCCTATCTCTGGTACATAAGACCCTTATCCTTAAAGCGCCATATTATCTTTATACAAAAGTAAGCCTCCTCTGCCAGTACGATCAAAGATCCTCTAGGAATAAACTCATCTTACTTATCCCGCGGCATTCGACAGCATTGTTCACACGCAGTTTCTCGTACTGGGCACCCAAACTATATAACTGCTTATCAAGTGAGTATAAAGAATATAGCCTAAGCAATTTTAAAAAAAGGTTAAAGATGAGTTTAAAGCAGTCGGATGGCTAAAATTTTACTTTATGCATATCCACAGGTAATTGATTGTTTCCTTTCTCTGATAAGTGTTGTATTCTAAGTTTTTTTTTTCTCTCTCTCTATAGTTTGTGTCAATGTTTTCCAGGTCGGGTTGAAAAACAGCATAAGCTGACACTCCACCTTTTCGTCACTGTTCCTTTTAAACCAATTATTTTGTAATCGTGTGACGAATAAAGGCCATTTATTATTATTATTATTATTATTATAACTGACACCGTAAATGTATGAAAATTAAATGCTTCTTTATCACCAAACAATACACGCAGCCACCACAAAAACTTAACAGAAAAACCTGACCATTTTATCACTTGTTGTTCATGGCAAGATACATCGATATGTAAAAGATTCTTGAATTCGATTAAACATACGTAAGTGTTTAGTTTTTTTTGTCACTCCGTATACATCAAGTTGTCAGTTTTTTTTGAAAACGCTGAGACCCGTCGATTTTGTTTTCGAGGGGGACACAAGTTTGGCAAAAAATCACGTTAACACGTGCAGCCCCCTAAGCGGGGGTGACACCACCACCAAAATCTTAAATGGAAAGGGGGGGGGGGTCGAGCGATACCTTATTTTAAAGGTCTTTCAATTCCCTTTATAATGATATAAAATTAATGTACTTCAGTTCAGTAGTTTTGAAGATTTATTGATTTAAAGCTTAAATAAAACTAATACATCATCTTTAGTGGAGATCAAAACATTTGGCAGCAAAGTAATTTAAAAATGAAGAATGAACTGACCCGTTATGCAAGTAAATGTTGAAAATGGCCACCATGACTCTCCATGCAATAATAAAGATTTTGCTCAAAAAGTTGCCGCAGATTTTGCAATATCTGAGGAGTAATTTGAAGGCACTCATTCACAATTCTTTGTCGCAGGTCTTCTCATGATGTTGGCTGAGTAGCATAGATTTTGCTTTTTAAATGACCCCACATAAAGAAATCCAAAGGTGATAAATCTGGCGATCTTGGGGGCCACTAAATGGCACCTCTTCTACCAATCCATCGATCTGGAAACGTCTGATCTAAATATTTTCGAACACGTAATGCGTAATGTGGTGGGGCACCATCCTGTTGGAACATCAACCTATTCGCAATGTACCGCCGATCATTCTGATTTTCAATTATGGCTGTTAATGCAGGATCTATGGCGTCTTCCAGTAATTCCAAACACATTTCACCGGTCAAATTTCCAGGTAAGAAAAAAGGACCACCTAAATGATCGCCAAAAATACCAGCCCAAACATTTAATTTTTGTGGCTGCTGTGTATGTACGTAGCATCATCATTTTGTGCTATAGATCTCCCTCGGGAGATATGAAAATATTCCATGACAATCTGAATAGGGCTCTAAACTTTGTTTTTAGGCCAAATATAAATATAATTCTCTGTGGCGACTTCAATGTAGATTCTTATAATCATAACGACGATAATGAGGCACTTGTGAATGCACTGTCTGAGTTTGGCTTGCATCCACAGGTAGGTTGGCCAACAAGGATTGGGCGCACGTCTATCACAACGATAGACCAAGTTTTCACCAACTTCAATGATAAATGTTTGAATTGCGTTGTTGAAAATGTAATATCTGACCATAGAACAGTAGTTATAGAAATTATGGAATGTCTTCAAGCTGAGGATGCGGTAAAAGAAACAGTTAAAAGGGTTTTTGATACCCGGTCTGTTCAAAACTTCGTTTTAGACTTAAGTAAGGAAAACTGGTCACCACTGCATAGTTACCGGGATATAAATAATGCATTTGAGTACTTCTTTCGAATGTTTGACTATCACTTCCAAATACATTTTCCACTGCGTAAATGTCTGATTAAAAACAACAGCAAGAAATGGGTCGATGAAAATGTAAAGTTGTCGAGTTCATGCTTGCGTGAACAGCATATGTTGTCAACAATTATCCCTGAGTACAGACAACATTATCTAGATGCAAAAAACAATATCAGAAGCTTGTCAGAAAAACAAAAAAGGCATATTATCAACAAAAAATATCCAATTTGCAGAACGTGATGAAGGCTGCCTGGAATGTGGTTTCTGACATAAACGGAAGAAATAGAGTATCAAAGAACATTGTACTGCTTGATAATGGATTAACCCTTAGAAATCCACAAAAACTTTCTAATTATTTTAACTACTATTTTAAACAGGCTCCTTTGGATATTATTCAAAAAATATCTAAGGATACAAATCCAGTTCCAAGTGATCATACCTGCGACCAAAAATCTTTTATGTTTTTATACCCGTTCTTGCAGGAAGAATTCTATAAACTAATTAATGATAAGTTAAAAAACAAGCGTTCTTCAGGCACCGATGAAGTTCCGAATTTCTTAGTCAAGAAAATATTATTGTACATAACCAAACCTTTTGTTTTTCTAGTTAATTTATCATTCTGCACTGGTGTATTTCCAAACAACCTGAAAACAGGAAAAGTAACTCCAATTCTTAAGAAAGGAGATACTTCTTTGGTTAGCAATTACAGACCGGTGACTGTTCCATGCTGTTTTTCCAAGATTCGTGAGTATTGTTTTTTAGATCGACTTCTGCTGTTCTTGGAAAGCAATGACACTTTATCATCCAATCAACATGGTTTCCGTATTGGAAAATCAACCATGACCGCATGTCGTTCATTTATCAACAGGTTAGCCTACTGTATTGAGGCAGGATAATGCCCGGTTGGGATATTTTGTGACCTCAGTAGGGCGTTCGACTGTGTCAGTCATGACATACTATTAGCCAAACTAACAGACTATGCAATTGGTGGTTCAGCCTACCTGTGGATAAAATCGTACTTGCAGAATAGGTCACAATTCGTGGCAATAACACACAACAACGCTGGTCAACTGAAGCAGGTCAAATCGGGTATGGTTAACATAAATATAGGCGTACCACAAGGATCTACATTGGGGCCAGTGCTGTTTTCCCTTTATATAAATAACCTGGAGCAATGTTTTCCTGAAGCATATTTCACGTTGTATGCAGACGATGCCTCCATCATTATATCAAATAAAGACGAGGCTGATTTAATAAATAAATGTAACACCTTAGTGTACAACATCAATAGCTGGTTTGAAGAAAATCAGTTACTTCTTAATAGCGAGAAGACCACAGTTATAAGGTACCATAACATTCAAAAGTCGATACCAGCGATTCAGCACTGCAGAGTGGTAAAAGCACTAAGTTTTTAGGGCTCCACTTAGACCAATTTCTCAACTTTAAAGGACATTGCGATTATCTGTCATCAAAAATAAATTCACAAGCATATTTATTCAAGAACCTGAGATCTGTTTTCACAGAAAATCAGCTTTTGATGTTGTATCATCGTCAGGTTGAGTCTCGCATGCTGTATGCTTTGTGCTTCTGGGGTTCATCGGTGAACGCTTCTAAGGTGTTCCTAAGTCAAAAACGGCCGGTGAGGTGTATGGTGGGAGTAAGCAGCACTTATAGTTGCAGGGAATTATTCAAGAGATTAAAAATAATGACACTGCCTTCGCTTTTTCTCTACAATATGGCTATCTATACTTTTTTAAACAAAGATGATTTCACCTTGAATAGTCATATACATCAAATGGGCACTCGCAGACAAAACGACATCCATATACCTTTTGCGCGTTATAAGTTAGGCAGCAGATCACCATGTATTTTAGGTCCTAAAATTTTTAACAACCTGCCCGACTCCATAAAAAGGATGACCTCAATAGGCCAATTCAAATCTGAGTTGAAAAGCTACTTTATAAGTAACTGTTTTTATGCAATTAGCGGCTTTGTCAGTTTTTAAATATCGTTTTTTATCACTAATTTTAACTTGTTTGTTGTTGGATGTTATTTGTTTGTTTTTTTGTTTATTTACTTTGTACATATTTACTTATTGTATCTTTTTGACGAAACCTATACATGTTCATGCATGTCTGATGGAAAATAAATTTATTATTATTATTATTATTATTATTATTATGAACCTCATGATAAATTCTGGGACCAATATCGGCAGTTATGACGATTTACTACGCCATTTAAGAAAAAGGAACATTCATCGGAAAAGCAAGTGTTGAATAGAAAATGTTCATCGTTTATAATGCGTTCACTCAAATCTTCACGAAATTGTAAAACGCCGATCAAAATCGTCTTCATTAAGTTCTTGTACCAGGTGAATTTTATCCGAATGAAAACTATGTGCCTTTAGAATCCGTTGGACAGTACGTCGACTAACACCACACACAGTCTCCAATTTGCGGGTACTTAACGTAGGATCTACATAAACTTGCCCTAAAACCCCCACTTCTATTGCTTCGTTCCTTATGGGATCTTCAATGTTGCGTTTTTAATTGGCGACTGACCCAGTTTCCCGAAATTTAGCTGCTGTTCTATTAGCGCTCTGATTATTTCCGAAAAATATTTCAATAATTTGAACTCTTTCTGCTGTGGAATATACCATGGTTAAATTATGTAATAAAGCGTTACAAGTTATTTTAGCAACAAAGTTTGGTCAAATCAATCGCAAACTAAGTACTAAATTCCTATTCAAAATAAGTACGAGATATTTGCTTATCTTTCTTCAAGAAATAACTTTTTTGCCACAAAAAAAAACGCCCCAATAGCTATTTTCAACAACAAAATGATAAACAAACCATGAGCGTAGTGAAGAAAAGCATTCACTTATTAAGTGAATTCTTTTAGTAACATTTCTTCTGAAAGTAGTACCAACTAATCTGATGTACCTATTAAAGTCTACTTTAAGCTTTAAATCAATAAATCTTCAAAACTACTGAAGTGAAGCTCATGTATTTTACATCATTATTAAGGGAATTGAAAGACCTTTAAAATAAGGTATCACTCGACCCCCCTTTCCATTTAAGATTTTAGGGTGACACCAACACGTGTTAACGTGATTTTTTGGCAAACTTCCCCCCTCGAAAACAAAATCGACGCGTCTGAGCGTTTTTCCAAAAAAAAAAACTGAGCTGCCAGTAAATGCGTCTGTTTCGTTTTCGATGCGCCACCCTGTATAATAACATATCAATGTAAAAGTCGATATAAGAAATCACTTTACCTGGTATTACTGTTAAGTGATATCAAGATAGTTCAATCAAAAAAAGATTTACCTGATTTTCTTCATCTGGTTCTTCAACATCTGCGGGTGTAACATTATCTTTCTTCTTTTTTGGACAATGATCTTTCCTTACGACACTGTTATGTATCTGTTGCCTCAACCTTAAAATAATAGTAAAACTAATTTATATGTGTTTATATAATTATGAGGAAGTTTTGATTTACAATTAATATAAATTTTGTTAACCAAGACTTCTGCGCAAAGAAATTTAAATAGGTACCCAGTTTTTACTATAAAATTTAATTGCAAAAGTTATACAAACTCCTAAAATCACTGATCATTCATGAATATGTTTTGAAGTTGAAAGTATATTTGATGCTAACAAGGTAGCAGAAATTACTAATAATTCCTGAAATAAAAGTCGTATATTATTATTATCTATATAAAATTACGAGAAGCTCTTTTACTGCAAGATATGACTGAAATGTTTGTTGATGTTGATACTATGCAAGCCTATTGGATACTGTTGAATTTTGCATGAAAGAAGCTTCAGTCAAGACAACAATTTATAAAAGGAAAAATCCAAAACCTTGGTTTTCATAGACGATGTTTCTAAATTAAATAGAGATTACAGATACAAAAATTTTATGATTACTGGCAGTAAAAATGATTAGCTTGAATTCACAAGATCAAGAAACCAGTCCTACGAAATGAAAAAAAATATTACAATACCAAAATTGATGACAGTAAAAATAATAGCAAACAGATGGGAGAAACATTGTTTCTCCTATTAATAATAATAATTTATTCACATCAATTACAAATTGTGAATAAACTGATATGCCACAACACAATATATATACATATAACATAGTAATTGCAATGAATTGATTGGACTAAAAAAAATCTACATAATATAAATGTAATAGGTATGTACATTAATTTTGTATCGTAGAATAACAATGAAGAAAAGATATTTATATGTTAGTTTGTTATAAGTTACATTATGTTAATATCAGTATTCAATAGACGCTCGTACAAATATATTTTTAATAATGATATTTTTTTTTCTAATATATTTTGATGTTATGATATAATTTTGAACCCAAGTATATAGTAGATTTCAACATTATTTCCTTTTTTGGTGTTGCAATAATTATTTGTTTATTTTTATTTCTAGTATCATACTTTACTTTTTATAAATGTTCGAATGTTTGTTTTTATGGAATTCTAATATAACATTATACCAAAATATTTTTTTATATATAAAAGTTTTGATTCTATAAACAGCGATTTGGAAAATTATGTTGTTATGAACAGTTTTTGTATTGTTTGTAAATAATTTAGACGGTTAGTATTCGTGGATCCCCAGATAATAATTTAATATACTGAGTGACATATAAATCCGAACACCCAGTTTAAATGGTTTTATTTTAATAAAAGTTGGTGAATGTATTTATCTTACTGTAAATAACAAGTGAAAAAATTTTCAGCCTTATCAGTTGGACACTCCGGTTTTTATACTGCTTTTTTTTAATTCACTAACGCTCTAAAAATGAATATTTCAGCCGCAGTAAAGAATCAACGTTGGCGGATTTTGGTTCTTGACATCCTTTACGATCGGTTACGATGCCTAGAGTACGGAGACCTGTACGATTTCGTCAACTTAGTGAGTTTGATAGGGGCCGTATAGTGGGACTTCGGGAAGCTGGACTTTCTTTTCGGGCAATTGCAGTTAGAGTGCAAAGAAGTGTAGACACTGTGGTTAGGTGTTGTCAGGCATGGCTTCGAGAAGGCCGTACGCAAAGAGCAAGGGGCACTGGACGCCGCCGTAGAACTACAGAGCGTTAAGATCGCCGCCTAAGATTATTGGCCTTAAGGGACCATTTCTCCACTACTCATTGCAAATGAATGGTTTGCAGAACACGGAAGACCTATTGGCATGCGAAGTGTTTACCGACGAATGAGAAGTTTTGGCTTGTTTTCATACCGGCCACACTGGGTCCTCCCTTTAACTCGAGAACACCGACGTAATCGCCTTGAGTGGTGCAGACAACGGTCACTCTGGGATCAGGAATGGAACAGTATTGTCTTTAGTGACAAGTCTCGATTTTGTTTGGGCATGCACGATGGTCATGCCAGGGTTAGAAGGCGACGTGGTGAAAGGAGGAATCCACAGTTTTTTGTTGAAAGACATGTTCATCACACTGTTGGAGTTATGGTTTGGGGTGCTATAGCTTATGGTTCCAGGTCACCTTTAATCTTCATCAGAGGTAACATGAACGCGCAGCGTTATATCCACGAAGTTCTAGAACCCCATCTTTTACCCTATCTTGACACCCTGGCAGATCCAACTTTCCAACAAGATAATGCCCGACCACATGTTGCAAGAGCCAAAATAGACTTCTTTCAACATAATGATGTCACATTGTTACCATGGCCACCAAGATCTCCCGACTTATCCCCAATTGAGCACGTGTGGGATATGATGGGTAGGAGATTGCTCAATTTGCAACGTCCTCCTCAGACTCTAGAAGCACTTCGAGAGGAGTTGGTGGTTGCCTGGAATGAGATACCACAGGAGGACATTGACAATGCGTAGCACATCAGGGTGCATCCACACATTATTAAAGGTCAAAGGGCTTTAAAGCAGTGCAATCATTTTGAAATTTTTATCATTTACTTATTATGCTTCATTAAGTACTTATACAAAATTTTATTAAAATAAAACCATTTAAACTGGGTGTTCGGATTTATATGTCACTTAGTATAGGTTATGTAATGTTTGATATAAAATTTTTAATTGAGTTTCACTGAACATTTGTCGGTAACAGCTGAATTTATATAATAAATCTTATCTTTTAATGTATATGATTGTTCATCCCAACGAAGATGGCAGTCTAAAGGAATTCCGAGACAGTTATGATTTAGTTTACGTGTTATATATTCATTTTGGAGACTTGATTTCGTTATATCTAGCTGATTATATAGGGTTAATTTATTTGTGTAAGAAGAAGAAATACATAATCTAAAATGAAGGTCGACGATGGGGTAATTACAAATAAAAAATAATAGCGGATCCAACGAATGCCTATTTCATAGAAAGTATCAACGACATTGTAAGATCAATTATTGAAGGGGATCCCAACCAATGTCCCATCAGATCAGATTATAATGCATCTTTCAGTGAGTTTACAATAATTAACATTAATCGTCTCAAGAAGATTAATTCAAAATTGATTTCAAATCAAAATAAGAGTGAGATTTTGTCTAAAACGTTGCTTAATGAATGTTTTGGTATTATTGTAACATAGCCCCTGTTTTGAAAGTTAAGAATTCTGAGTTGTACACTAATATGCGGCCAATAAATGTTCTGCCAGATGCTGACAAAGTCTTTGAAGAAACATTTTAACCAAATTTCCAGCTGGATTCAAGAAGGAACACTCAACCGAAACGGCAATACAGATAGTTTTAGAGGACTGGATGAGATGTATGGACAATAGGAAACATACAGTGACAGTGTTTTTGGACTTCAAAAGGGAGTTTGAAACTATAAACAGAGGTAAATTACTTACAAAATTGCATCACTATGGATTTAAAGGATCTGTATTCGAAATTCCACAATACTACTTGATTGACAGAAGTCAAAAAACCAAAACTGGATCTACATTATCAAGCTCAAAAAATATTTCTGTTGGTGTACCACAAGGTAATAAACTAGGTCTATTACTTTTTATTTTATATATTAATTACATTTGTGATATTTTATATTATTCTAAAATTCAGATATTTGCAGATATACATATCAGATGAAAATATGGACACTGCTTTAAAAATGCTAAAAATTATAAATTATTTAAATGTAAATAAACTAAAATTGAATACTTATAAAACAAAATGTATTCTAATAGGGAAATACCTAAATGAAAACACTACCACAGTTACGATAAATCGTGAAATAATTGAAAAGGTTGAATCAATTGAATATTTAGGTATATAGGTATATTGATAGTAAACTAAAGTTTGAAGATCACTATGAATACATTATTTAAAAAATTGTCACAAAAATTACTTTTAGGGGGCTATGGTCTTAGTACATATTCAAAAAAAAAATAGTTTATAAAACAATGATTCTACAGCATTCAGTATATTGTTCAACTATCTTGTCCACTGCCGATGAAGATGTGTTCTACACCAAAATAAAATCTATGCTACAAGAATTACAGTGGCACAGCATTTAGAACACTACATAGAATTGAATAATCATTACAATTATTATACAAGATGAAATATAAATTGTCATTTACAAAGTTGCAATAATAATATATAACTAATCAATATTTCAGAAAGGATCACTTGAATTTGATAAACTAAAATTATTTAGTTTAGATATAAAGCCTACTTGTAATTTGAAGATTTTTAAACGAAAATTAAAGGAATATTTCATAGACAGTGAACATTCTTATAGATGCAAATTTTGTCTTTCTAAATATCTGTTGTGTAATTTTTATATTTTTTTAAAAGAGTGTAATTGTAACAATCACTAAAAGTATCTAGTTATGTGAATGACAGATCTGAATAGGGGCCTGAGTTTTATCAAATTTACACCAGATTCATCACTGCCCGAGTTAGACTAATACAAAGATGTAATTTTCTGATCACCTCAGTAGACGTCAAAACGTAATGGATACTCGTGAGGGTTTAGTCCAGTCCACATGTTTATAAATTTGTCATAAATTAGTTGCAAGTGTCATAAATTAGCGTTAGAGTAGTAAATTAGACTTTGCCCAGTAAGAACGGTAATTACTTTTACAGCATTCTCTCTATCAAAATCCGCCGAACTTTTCCTTCAACCAAATAGCTTTTAATAAATATAACATTTCATCTACGATATCGCCGGTCTTGACGAAAAAAAAAATTTTGAAACTAAAGCATTGAAATGAAACATCTAAGAATCTATCATCCAAATACTAATACCAAAATCAGCTTTTAAAAATTCGTTACCTTCTAATTTGCTGAGAAGTCTTTCTGTGCACCTTCAAAAGATGCCTATAGACGCACCAGGCATTCGCAAAAGGATCCTTACAGTCAGGGCATATATACACAAGTTGTGTTCGATTGTGTTTGTACTTTAAGTGGTGGTTGAGCGTTTTCTTCGTGGAAAACTTGATATTGCACTGTGTGCAGAACAGCCCACCTTTCGGAATCTTGGACAGCTTATTTGTTGCGAATTCGCAAACTCTACCGTTCGAGTCTAGAACCGCTTCATTTTCATCCAGGATGCTATGAATTTCCATAACCTGTAAAGAAAAAAAATTTGCAAATTCTTTGCAGCCCAATCGTCTTCTGGATGACTGCAAATTCATATTTAATTTACTTGGGTCGGATGGCGTTGGCCTCTTCTTGCTGCATTTGATATGAAATACTTTTAGTCACTCAATACCTCTCAAAACTTACTTAACCTTAACTGACCCACATATACTAAGTGACATATAAATCCGAACACCCAGTTTAAATGGTTTTATTTTAATAAAATTTTGTATAAGTACTTAATGAAGCATAATAAGTAAATGATAAAAATTTCAAAATGATTGCACTGGTTTAAAGCCCTTTGACCTTTAATAATGTGTGGATGCACCCTGATGTGCTACGCATTCTCCAACGCGCCTAGGCATGCTTCTGATCAGGTGGTCAATGTCCTCCTGTGGTATCTCATTCCAGGCAACCACCAACTCCTCTCGAAGTGCTTCTAGAGTCTGAGGAGGACGTTGCAAATTGAGCAATCTCCTACCCATCATATCCCACACGTGCTCAATTGGAGATAAGTCGGGAGATCTTGCCGGCCATGGTAACAATGTGACATCATTATGTTGAAAGAAGTCTATTGTGACTCTTGCAACATGTGGTCGGGCATTATCTTGTTGGAAAGTTGGATCTGCCAGGGTGTCAAGATAGGGTAAAAGATGGGGTTCTAGAACTTCGTGGATATAACGCTGCGCGTTCATGTTACCTCTGATGAAGATTAAAGGTGACCTGGAACCATAAGCTATAGCACCCCAAACCATAACTCCAACAGTGTGATGAACATGTCTTTCAACAAAAAACTGTGGATTCCTCCTTTCACCACGTCGCCTTCAACCCTGGCACGACCATCGTGCATGCGTAAACAAAATCGAGACTCACCACTAAAGACAATACTGTTCCATTCCTGATCCCAGAGTGACCGTTGTCTGCACCACTCAAGGCGATTACGTCGGTGTTCTCGAGTTAAAGGGAGGACCCAGTGTGGCCGGTATGAAAACAAGCCAAAACTTCTCATTCGTCGGTAAACACTTCGCATGTCAATAGGTCTTCCGTGTTCTGCAAACCATTCTTTTGCAATGGACCTGGTAGTGGAGAAACGGTCCCTTAAGGCCAATAATCTTAGGCGGCGATCTTCACGGTC